TCAAAAAAAGGCGCAATCGAACAAACAGCGTGGGCCTCGCATTTGGTAGGCAAAGAATTATCTTGTGTTCTCTATTGACGACTTTCTGAAAGCAACATTACTTGTAACTTATCCATCAGCATCTAGGTCCCCAGTGAGGCAATGGCAAACCCAGTTGTAAAGAAAACGTTTCACTCCAAAAGAAACGTGAAGAAACTTAGTACTTGGTGTGGCTAACGGGGTTAAAATTTCAAATAACTTCGGGTTTCATCGTAGACTTTTGAGTAGGATTTCAGATGAATTGAGTGTCATTTTGGGACGGATAGCCAACGTTCTGGAAATGACGGACAGCCAATCCCATGACAATTCCTACTCAGGTTGTAATCATTCCGCGAACGGAAGACAAAGATAGATGAATTATGCATTTACCCGGCTGCTTCGTGCCCCAGGATTGACGGATGCCGGGGCGGGAAACCCTACAAAAAAGAGGAAGATAAGAAGCATACCCTGACGAACAAAGCGTACAGAAGATCGAATCAGCGAAGGTGAAGAACCCACGCACCTTCATGCGCCAGAAGGTGACGTCCGTGTGGCAGAGCGAGGTGCAGAGGATCCTGATGCGGACCTCGTGCGCCCGCGGCGGCGCCACCTCCACCTCCTCCATCTCCAGCGGCTGTCCGGCCACCTTGCAAACCGCCGCTGCATGCGCACGTACGTGCCGTGTTTAGCTACAAGCTGCGTGCGGGTTTGGACAGGGGATGGAGGTAGACGAAGGCCAGTACGTCGTCGGCGATCGAGTACCTTTGCACCTGATGGGTTCCGTCGCCGTGTTCTGCTCCATCGTCTTCCCGGCAGGCATGTCGTCCCTCGCTTACTCGTGTGCAAGAAGTGTTGAGACTGATTGCCGCTGAGAGAGAGGAGCAATGATTTGTGGAGCTGAACGCTAAGGACAGGTGCATATATACTAGCAGGCAGAGACGCGGCGGCACGCCGCGCCCGAGCTTGAGCCCATCGTTGATCAAATTGTAACTTAATCTATTGTTGCTCGAGTCTGCTACCATAATAGGGTTTTGATAGGTAACTTTTGTGTAAATTTTTGGTGAGCAGGTATATGCTTGTGTGAGAAAGGTACAATAGATGATTTGGATTGTTTGATTAGATTGCATAGCTAGGTGCATACATGCGTGATAAACACCTGATTATGATAATATATCATATATCTAGACGGCATGGCATACCGTGAATAAAGAGGATCATTCAATAAAGTATATTGTATTTCATCAGTGCTGCGAACATCTGCTTTTGGTCTTTATCTCTTGTCGTCAATTTCTTCATCAGAGGATAAGGGCAATGTACAATGGTTGATAAGGTAGCCTTATCTTAAATCTCGCATGTAATTTGGAGATAACAAAAAAACATGTCTATAATGGGTCATCTTTTAGCCTTATCTTTAATAACTAGTTATTCCTAAAAACATGGTGAGACATATTGTGCTAAGAGATCATCTCTTGCCTTCTCTTAATTAAGAGAAGACAAGCCTTCTCTTATGATTTCTCTCTCCTTCACTTCATTATTTATCCTACGTGACATTGCTAGGATAGAACCATTGTACATAATATAATCATTTCGTCGGGTGGTTACTTGTCCTGGAGTTTTCTCAAATCCTTACTTTAATTAGCGCTCTATTTCTTCAACCAATAGAAGTTGATCTTGTCTGTCATGCGGGTAATGTTGAATTGGCGTTCCTCTGGTCGTTTGAATTTGTTGCATTCTTACCCGTGCTTAATATCCTCGCGAACATCGACCTAGAATTTCTTCACCCACCACAATTTATGCAAGATGACCTCATGATATGACTGCAGTAAAAAACTTTCTGTATCATTAGACAGATAGAAGGTAAGCATTATTTTGGTCGTCTGACAAAATTTCACTAAAAAAATCAGGGAGAAGAGCAATCATATCTAAGTAAATGGTAAAGTTACCACGAAATAAATATATTTCAGTAGGTATATATACTCGGGCGACATTGTTCGGCCAGACTAAAATACATGGGATTGTCCATGTCTCTTCTCATTTCTGCTGGATAAAACAAACGCTTGTCATATGAAAGCAAGATCAACTTCGTCACTACTTTGTTTTTTTAGAAAAGAAGGAAGACCCCTGGCATCTGCATCTGGACGATGCATACAGCCACTTTATTAATTATTCTCAAAAGACCTTCAAAGAAATAAATTAGTAAGTCTGAAGCCACCGTCTAGGCAACATCTGTTGCTACTCCTATTCATTTGATGAAGGGATGCTGATAGTCTGAGCCTAATACCAAACAGACCTCGCAGCCAAACCTAACATCTAAAACCTGAGTTCCCATCCAGGATGCCTGCCGGGTATGGGTCACCCACCGGTCCGGCGCACTCCTCAACCAGGACGCATGCCGGGTATGAGGCCGCCGCAGCCACCTGCCACCAATCCATCTTCAGAGATGTACTGCTGCATCTACCTTGCCCGATCTAGCTGCCGTCGACGCCACCACGATGCCAGACAACGCCACCATCCTGCGCTCGTCCATCAACACACGCCCAGCAGCGAGACCCCGCTGCTCCATACCGCTGAGTCCCGCCATTGTCGACGTGTCAGATGCAACGCCGCTCCTCCTTCGCGAACACCACCTTCTACCACTGGTCCTATCCCCTCCACCTGTAGATCCTCTGAACTCCCAACCGAGCCCCAGTGTCCCTGACGACACCTCCAGGAAGGTCATGACGCAAAAAGCGCCGTTGCCGCCAGATCCGAAAAGGATTGAAGGTTTTCACGCGACCGGGGATCGGGGATTGGGCCCTCAGCTGCGCCTTCATGAAGGAAAGCGGCGCCCATGGGCGTCGCCGCCGCCGGGCCGGCTAGACTGGCCAAGGTTTTCCTCGGACCCAAAGTACACCACCATCGGAGCCTGCAACCGCAAACCACCGGGACGACGACAGAGGCAGCAGGAGAAAGGGGAACCTCCAGATCTGACGCAACGGAGAACCGCGCCATGGCCGGACTCCACCAGCGACCCGCCACCCGCGCGGCCGAGTACGCTGGCCAGCGTCGCCTGCAGATGTCTCCAGCCGCCGGACGACGCCGCCTCGCCGATAGGGCCGCCGCCCAAGGATCCACAGGCTACCGATGCAATACTCCGACCCACAGGCCGACGAGATCGATCCGGGCGCCGAGATCCCTGCTGCCACCTTCTCCGGCGTCCGCGCGGGCTTTGCCGGCGGCCGTCTCCGACGGCGGCGAGGGACGGAAGGGGGATGAGGGGAGGCGGGCGGTGATAGATGGGATCGCCCCCGAGTCGCCAGGGGGCGACGCGAGGGCCGCGTGAGTTTCCGAGTGCCCAGTGAAGTACTCCGTCCTCGTCACTACTTTGTAGAAACCGAAATGCTAATATAGATACGCGGTGTATGCTCACTCCATTAGATATAGCTTGATGATTCGAGCTTAGCTTCGTTGAAGACCATGTCCACATTATTAGCGTACACATCAATATTGTTATCTGTATAGATGAATCATGAGTACAATTTTTGTATCGTCTAGATATATGATATATTATACCGTGAATAGAAAGGATAATTCAATATAGATTGCATAGCTAGGTGCAAGGAGGAGCTTCTCCTCCAGTTAGCCTCGCAAATAACAACGATCATTGCAGCACATTGTTGTCATTGTGAGACCCGGGCAATGCCAAAAAAAGCGTGCCAAATCCAAAGGCCTGTGGTGCAACTGCTTCAAGAATGATGGTGGGTTTCTTATTATGACCCCGATATTTCCCTTTTTGAAACCTTCAGACTGTTTTTCCATTTCCAATGCATGTAGTCAAGAGATTCAAGCAAACCTGGCCACCCTTTTGCTTCTGAGATTGCCAAGAAGCTCTCGGTGTCTGCCATAGTTTGTTCTCTCAGGTAATGAGGTCCGAACACCTCAACCACGGTAGTTGCAAACCTGACCATGGCATCTCCGTATGTGCTCTTAGACATCCGTAGGTACTCGTCTCACAAATCAACGGCCATGCCATATGCAAGCATCCGCAGTGCGACCGTGTACTTCTGGTAATCAGAGAAGCCAATTGTTCCCACGGTGTCCTTCTTCAGGATGAAGTAGTCATCGTAGGACCGGACGCCATGGTACAAACGATCGAAAACAGCCTTATGCATCCGAAAATGCAGGTGAAAATGGTCAGCGGATAGTGCATCGGGGCAAAGTAGTCGACCATCAGTGTCAAATGGTCGCGCGCCCTGTTGTGGTTGAGCATGCAATGACCCTTGATCAAGCCCTTGAAATCGAGAACATGCTCCTCCGCATGCTCCGCGTCTTCAAGGACCGTCTGCATCATCGCCTTCTCATCGGAGTACTCCTCATCCAATAAGTTGTCGGACGACTCAACATACCGCTCATATATGTACTTCAAATCAAAGTCCATTGCTAGAAAAAAGAAGGGACAACTATTTTAAGCTCCGGCGATTCATCGAACAGTTGCCGGGCATGATGAGAATAGCAGTAGAGGATGGTATGCCTGGCGGGACGGCCGGACAGGCATTGAACGGAGACGGAGGAGAAGCGGGATGGAGCCCTGTTGGAGCGCTGGGGGTGACGAAGATGTAGAGTTCCGGTAGGGGTGTGATGGGGTGGCCGGAATGGTGGAGCGGCGGCGAAGACAAGAGAAAAAGAAAGAAGTGAGAAAATGAGAAGGATAGAGTCGCAGGGTCTGAATTTTTTTTAGGCTTGACCGCATTGTTGCGAGTGGTTCGAGGGTCGGGTTTCAAGATGCCCTAGCCGCACTGTGGTCGCATCGTTCGCAGCTCATCGACAGCAAAATCAACATCACTGCCAAAAGACACAGTCGAATCAGACGCATGTTCTCATCAGAATAAACTAGTCGATCTCGCGTCCCAATGACCAACCGCAGACAGGTCGACCTGCTCCGACAGACGAGCAGTGGCTATCGTGGCTGATCACAAGGTTGCCGAGGACGACAGCGATATCAGTCACGCCTTGCACGCGCGGCCATTATCGAGGGCCTCCACGCCGTTCGCCTTGGCCCCGTCCATCCAGATGATGCACCTGAGGCACTTCCCCTGCGTGAGCAGCTCGAACGCCGCGTTGATGTCGTGGAACCCCATCTCGTGCGTCACGAACTCGTCCAACTCCAGCTCCTTGTCCAGGTACTTCTGCGCCAGGATCGGGATGTCGGCCTTGGGCTTGAGCCCGCCGAAGAGCGAGCCGACGACCGACCTCCCCATGAGGATGTCGTGCGGGGGTATGCTCATCGGCGCGCCGCCGCTGGAGACGCCGAGCACGACCGTCTTCCCCCAGCCCTGTTTTGACTAGTCACGCCGAGCAGCTTCAGACAATCAGACTCGTGATGTCCAAATGTGGCATGCAGTCGCATGGGCCATGCATACCTTCCGGGAGCTTTGGAACGCCTCCGCCATGACCGACGTCGACCCGATGCACTCGAAGCAGTAGTCGGCGCCGCCGCCGGTCATCTCCTTGATGACCTACACAGAGATTGATTGACGAGAAATTCGTTAGCGACTAGTAGTAAATACAGTACCAAAAAATGCACTTGTCGCGCAGGTTGGTCGATTCGGAATCGGACCTCGCTCACGGCCTTCTCCCCGATATCGTTCGGATTGACGAAGTCGGTGATTCCCAGCCTCTTACCTGTCATTGTTGATTCATTACTATCCTGACTTGTTTTTTCTTCAGATGATTTGATTAGTCCAGATAACTATCAACTTATGATACATACCGATGTCCCACTTCTCCGGGTTCAGATCCACTCCAATAATCTGCTTAGCCCCACGCATCCTGCACCCTTGTGCTACCTGCAGGCTGCCGCCACGTTAGATCGCACTGGGTGGAAACGTGCGGTGTACATTGTGCTGTGACAGAGTGATAGTCACTAGAACATGAGGCCAACTTTCGAGCCGACAACTCGAACCAGACATCACATTATTAGCAGGGCGGCATATGATACAGTGATTCTGAGGGGTCGTCGTCGGACGTTACCGCTAACCCGACGACGCCGAGCCCGAACACGGCGACGCTGGACCCGGGCTCCACCGCCGCCACCTTCCACGCCGCGCCGACACCTGCAATGCAACCGGCCGCCAATCAGCAAATTTGCGCGCTGGATCCTTTGGTTGTTCGTACTGTTAGAAAAGCAGCTCGATCAGGCGTCGGCCAAGTTTAGTTACCGGTGGAGACGCCGCAGCTGAGCAGGCAGGCCTTCTCCGGCGGGACGCCGGGCCCGATCCTGACGACGCGCGCGACGTCGACGACCGTGTACTCGGTGAAGCTGGACACGCCGATGAAGTTGTGGATGGGCTCGCCGGTGGCGGCGAACGAGAAGCGGGTCGTGCCGTCGCGCGGCATGCCGGGCCGGGCGGGGAGCCCGGAGCAGATGTTGCTGCGGTCCGAGAGGCAGTCGGGGCAGTCGCCGCACTGCGCCGAGAACACCGGCACCACCGTGTCCCCGACGGCCACCTCGTGCACGTGCCCCCCCACGCTCTCCACCACGCTGGGAACAAAGGACACAAACACAGTTCGCCATGATGCAAATAACTCCCGATCTCATCGTAGACCAATGTTCGAGACTTAGATGGTGATCATTCAGCGAAAGGAAGACGATAGATAGATTATGCATTTACCCGGCTGCTTCATGGCCCAGGATTATCGGATGCTGGCCCGGGAAATCCTACGCAAAAGAAAAAAGCATGGATAGTCTCGGCATGCCCTGATTACCAAATTGTACAACAAAAGATTACGCACCTTCAAGCGCCAGAAGGTGACGTCGGTGTGGCAGAGCGAGGTGCAGAGAATCCTGATGCGGACCTCGTGCGCCCGCGGCGGCGCCACCTCCACCTCCTCCATCTCCAGCGGCTGCCCGGCCACCTTGCTCACCGCCGCTGCAGGTGAAGCTACGCATTTGGACAAAGGATGGAGGTAGACGAAGCCAAGTACGTCGGCGGCGCGCGAGTACCTTTGCATCTGATGGGTTTCGTTGCCGTGTTCTGCTCCATATCGTCTTCCCAGCAGCAGAGTCGTCCCTCGCTCGCCCTCTCTACGTGTGTGATGATTCGTGGAGCTGAACGCTAGTGGTACCGACAAAGGACAGGTGCCGCGTGTCCAGGTCCTGATTTATAATTGAGCGAGAGAGTACAGTGTGCCCGTGGTCCGACAACTTATCCACTGCCAAGAATAGGCCGAACAATCGCACTAGCGGGTGTCAGATCGGGAAGGGAAGCGGAGGAAGCGCGTCCAGAGGTTTCTTTCTCGCGGGTGGGATATTGGTAAGAGCAACTCCAACGGGCCTGTTTGGGTCGGCCAGGCGGACGTGCGCGCCTGCATTTTAAAATGGGTCGGCTTGACCGTCCAACGGGGCAGACTTAAATGTACGGGCACGCAAAAAAAAGACGCACGAAATAAATTTAAAATAAACTTAATTAAACATAAGTGGCCGGTCAAACGCCGACCAAAGTCCATTTAAACATAATTAAACATTAATTAAAATATTTAAAAAGTCCGTGCCCGCCTTCTGCCGCCCCGCATGCTGTCCTAGACGTCGTCGGCCTTGCCCTTGCCCTTGCCGTCGACGCCGCCGTCGCCATCGCCGGTGAGGTCGATGAAGACGGGGGCAGGGCCTGCCCAGCCAAACACCGCCTGGTATGCTGCCAGGACAGCCTCCTCCGGCGTCTACTGGGGCAGCGGCATTGCGACCAGCCGCGCTCCTCCTCCTCCTCCTCCTCCTCGAGCCGGAGCGCCTCCGCATCGCGCTGGAGCATGGCCTGGTAGCGCATCTGCTGCTGGCCGTCGTTCTGCTCCTGGCGAAGCCAGTGCGCCTTCCAGCGCTCGAGGTGGTCGGCCTCCTGCCCCGGCGTCGCGGCGAAGTGGACGGGGGGCGCGCTCGGCGCTCACCCACTCGCGGTACTGGCCCGTCCACGAGTAGGCCTCCTCCGGCCAAGTGGGTGGAGGCGGGGAGCGCTTTCGCGTTGGCTCCGGCTCTGGCTTGGGCTGGATGGGTGAGGGAGTCCTAGATTAAGGGGTCCTCGGACAGCTGGACTATATACTTTGGCCGGACTGTTGGACTATGAAGATACAAGATTGAAGACTTCGTCCCGTGTCCGGATGGGACTCTCCTTTGCGTGGAAGGCAAGCTTGGATATTCGGATGTGTAGATTTCCTTCTCTTTAACCGACTCTGTGTAACCCTAGCCCCCTCCGGTGTCTATATAAACCGAAGGGTTTAGTCCATAGGACAACAACAATCATAATCATAGGCTAGCTTCTAGGGTTTAACCTCTACGATCTCGTGGTAGATCAACTCTCGTAATACTCGTATCATCAAGATCAATCCAGCAGGAAGTAGGGTATTACCTCCATCGAGAGGGCCCGAACCTGGGTAAAACATCGTGTCCCCTGCCTCCTGTTACCATTAACCTTAGACGCACAGTTCAGGACCCCTACCCAAGATCCGCAGGTTTTGACACCGACATTGGTGCTTTCATTGAGAGTTCCACTGTGCTGTCCCGATAAGGCTTGATGGCTCGCCTCATTATCAAGGATAACGTTACCTCCGGAGGATCCTTGGCTGTAGGCCAAACTCTCCGGCTGGGCGATTTCGTCATGACCGCCCGTTCAGCCGCCGCGCCGACGATGACATCACAGGTCATCAAAGACAACCTCCGCATCAGCCCGGAATTCACCGAGCAGATGGATCCAATGGAGCTCTCCTCCTTGAACGAGCTCTTGGATCGCATCGCCGCCCTGGGGGTCTCAACGGATTATGATCGGATCGGGCTTAAACCCGACCTAAGGGAGATTAAATCTCCGCCGGTCACCCATCCGATAGCGATGGTGGAGGAACAAAACGGCCATTCTTCCTCTATTTTTGAGGACGAACTATGTCTGGATTCCCGAGCTCTTTGAGTCGGATACCCGTTTACGGGAGAACGTGGCCCAGGCTCCGAACTTAGAATCGGATAGCGGGCCACAAATATTGGGCAATTTCTTGGAGCCCGAGCTGCCAGGCTCAGGAGCTCCTTCGCCCCTGGGTTCCAGATTGAGTCAGGACGTGGACTTAATTTCACCCACCCACCCAGATGCAAGCGATCTTTCCCATATCAGACAAGAGCCCCAAGAGATAGTACACCACTTCTGGGCCAGATTCCTCCTTGTAATGAGTAAGGTTAAGGACTATCACGAGGAAGACGCAATCTCATTCTTTTGCAAAAATTGCACGGACAAGGGAATTCTCAATGCCATGAGTCACCGTGACATAGCACACTTTGCCGACCTGGCGGCCATAGTACAGAAGTACTGCGCGATGGAAAGCGCCTGGAAGACCCAAACAAAATTCTGGGATCCTCCGGCCCTAACTAAACCCCTCGTTCGGACTAAAAGGGTGCGCTTTCGCAAGTCACCCAATAAAATTGCAAAGAAGCCAAAGCCCTCTACAGGGCGTGGAACCGTAATGGAGGGATGGCTCAATAGGCCATGCAAAATTCACAGCACACCGGACATCATACCAACACATAGCCTTAGAGCATGTTGGATACTCCGGCAGGTGGCCAAGAGCGGCGAGGACCTTCTCATCGACAATACCGGAGAGCACCATCCTGCAGAAAATAACAATATAGTAATGACCGTCTTCGAGACTTTCGCCTCAAACAACAGGCGCAAGCGAGCACTCCGCAGCCTCGCCGAAGTCTGCCACGTTGCAGCAATAAACCCATGGAACGATACGGCCATAACCTTCAACGCCAGCGACGAACCTCAATTCCGAACAGTCCGAGCACCAGCCGCTTTGGTTCTTAGTCCAATAGTGGACGGATTTTGGCTTACAAAAGTGCTGATGGACGGCGGCAACGGATTAAACCTCATCTATGAGGAAACTCTTAACAAGATGGAAATAGATAAGAGCCGCATTGAGCAAAGCAGCATGACCTTCAGGGGAATCATCCCTAGTCGGGAGGCACGATGCATAGGGAAAATCACATAGGATGTGGTATTCGGCACACCGGAGAATTATAGGTCCGAAGAAATCACATAACAAGTGGCCCCGTTTAGCAGTGGATACCACGCCCTTTTGGGGCGAGACGCATTCACAAGCTTCCAAGCTATACCCCATTACGGGTACATGAAACTCAAGATGTCTTGGGGCCAATGGGATCATCACTCTAGCCAGTGATCCGGACATAGCACTCCGTGCCGAAAATAAAACTGTCCACTAGCCCTGGAGGCATTATCCGAAGCCCTCGCGACCGAAGAGTTAACTGCGATGCGTTCCGCAGTGGACAGGGACGATGTGATACTCAACAAACGACCCAAGTCCACCTCTTTCAAACCAGCAGACGAAATAGTCAAATTTCAGGTCCACCCAACGGACCCTACAAAAACAGCATCAGTTGGGGCACAGCTGAACCCCACAATAGATGCCGCACTACGAGACTTCCTGCGTGAGAATTGGGACATTTTCGCCTGGCATCCTTCAGACATGCCAGGTATCCCACGCAGGCTGGCCGAACATAGCCTAAACATACTGAAGGGATACAAGCCGGTCAAACAGACTCTTTGGCGCTTTTCAGAACCCAAGCGACAAAGCCATGGGAGAGGAGCTAGCCAAGCTACTTGAGGCCGGTTTCATTAGAGAAATAAAACATCCGGACTGGCTAGCAAACCTAGTGATGGTACTAAAGAAGGGCAAATCCTGGCGCCTATGCGTCGATTTCAAAGACCTTAATAAGGCTTGCCCTAAGGATCCCTTCCCCCTCCACCGCATCGATCAAATTATCGACGCTACCGTAGGACACAATTCATTGTGTTACCTCGACGCATACTCCGGATACCACCAAATCAAGATGGCGGAGTCCGATCAAGCCGCAACGGCATTTATCACTCCATATGGCCCCTTCTGTTTTAACACCATGCCTTTCGGGCTCAAAAATGCCGGTGCAACCTATCAACGCATGATCCAGACATTCCTGGAAACTCAAATCGGCAAAATAGTGGAGGCTTACATAGACGATGTGGTCATTAAAACCAGACACGTCGAATCATTAATAGACGACTTGAGGCTTACGTTCGACAATCTCCGAACATACGACATCAAACTCAACCCAGAGAAATGTGTTTTTGGCATACCAGCCGAAAAACTCTTGGGCTTTATTGTCTCTAACAGAGGAATCGAAGCAAATCCGACTAAAATCCGAGCTCTGTCACAGTTGGCTACCCCAATAGACCTCAAGCAAATCCAGAAATTAACTGGATGCGTGGCCGCCCTAAGCGGCTTTATCTCCCGATTAGGAGAAAAGGCGCTACCTCTTTATCGCCTTCTTTGATGCACCGAACACTTCGAGTGGACGGATGAGGCTACGGCAGGACTGGAGGAAATAAAAGCCCTCTTGGCCACCAATCCAATTCTGGCAGCGCCAAATGTCGGCTAACCCATGTTGCTATACATAGCTGTAATGCACCAGGTTGTAAGCGCAGTGCTCGTCGTCGAACGAGAGATAGATGGACATAAATTACCATTACAAAAGCCGGTATACTACGTATCCACCGTCCTCACTCCATGCAAGTCACGGTACCCACATTATCAAAAGATAGCATACGCGGTCTTCATGGCATCCCAAAAACTACGACACTACTTCCAAGAGTGTTCAATCACGGTGGCCTCCAAAGTACCACTCAATGACATAATAAATAACCGCGATGCCACGGGCCGGATTGCAAAATGGGCTATCGAGCTCCTCCCGTTCGACATAACATACAAACCACGGCGGGCCATTAAGTCGCAAGTATTGGCTGACTTCATCGCCGAATGGACAGAAGCCGATCTGCCTAAAGTGTACAGCGCGTACTCCAATTGGATCACGCACTTTGACGGCTCTAAAATTCTAGCTGGTCTAGGGGCTGGTGTCGTCCTGATGTCCCCCTGATAACCCACAAGTATAGGGGATCGCAACAGTTTTTGAGGGTAGAGTATTCAAC